TACGGCCCCCCCCGCCCAGCTCTTAGGGTGGAGGAGGCCAGACGGGTGGATGGGGGGGTCCCAGAGTGCGTGTGGACGCGGCCTGCTTGGGCTGTCCTCGGGCCGGTCGGACGGAGGGCCAGCTCAGTCTCCGGCCGCACCCCGCCTTTCCTCGCAGTGGCTCGTGGGCTTTAGCGTCTTCCTGTTCCCCGGAGCTGCGTTTTCGCTGCGGAGCCGATACCGCCCACAGCACATCTTCTTCGGCGCCGCCATCTTCCTCCTGTCTGTGGGCACAGCCCTGCTGGGCCTGAAGGAGGCGCTGCTGTTTAAGCTCGGGTGAGTGTCCCAGGCCACCATGGGCGGCAGAGAGCGAGCCCCGCCCTCGGCTCCTCAGGGACCTCTGCCTTCCCGCTTTTGGTGGTTAGCGAAGCACTGGTTTTCCTCTCCGGGAGGGGGACGGATGGGGCTGGGGTTGGAACACCTGGCCATCTCTCTGGCCTGGGTACGAATGGCATTTGACGGTGACCCCGTGGGTGGCTTCTCCCTACCCCCGCCCCAACCCTGCAGGGCCAAGTACAGCACGTTTGAGGCTGAGGGTGTCCTGGCCAACGTGCTGGGCTTGCTGCTGGTCGGCTTCGGGGGGACTGTGCTCTACATCTTGACTCGCTCTGACTGGAAGCGGCCACCCCAGGCGGAAGAACAAGCTCTCTCCATGGACTTCAAGACGCTGACAGAAGGCGACAGCCCCAGCTCCCAGTGACGGCCTGCCCTTGTCCCGCGGGGAGGGCCTGGCTGTGGCTGGCGTCAGTTCTGGGGGGTTTGGATAGGCGTCTTTCCCACGCTCCGTCGAGGCTGTCTTTAGGCTCAGCGGCTCCTGGGAGGGCTGGGCAGTGTGGATAGGGAGCGTGGGGGCAGCGTTCCCCTTGGAGCGCTCATTTCTGGGGTGTAGGGCTTGGCTTCCTCTGCTTTCCCTCCTTGTTGCTGCTTTAGAGTCCTGTTAGTCATGCACAGACCCCTGCCCCTGTTGTCATCGTCACCCCTTCAAATCAAGCAGCTTTGGGTCGGGTTTTGGGTGGTCAGTCCTGGTTACAAAAGCACAGATCCTTCAAGAAGACGTAGAGTGGCTCTCTCCTCTTGAGGCAGCGGATGCTGGGCCGAGGCCAGGGGCTGCAAAGAGCACAAAGCTGTGGGAGAGAAACTGGGGCTTAGTGACAGGCCTGGCAAGGCCGAGACTTGCTTTGTGTTAACACTGAATTCAAACCAGGAGTCTCGCTAGTCTGAACAACACGCGGTGAGAATGGGGCCCGGCCTTGGCAGGGAGCAAGTGATATTATGTATAAACTATGTCGGTGTTCAGAGCAGGGTTCCCCAGGAGCGGGGAGGGACTGGCCCCGGGGAAGCTGCGGAGATGGGGCTTTGGGCCAGCCCCAGGGCGGCCCTGCCGGGAGAGGGACGGACCACGGGCCCCAGACTACCGGTACTTGCCGGCTGAGGGCCACAGAGAGCAGGAGATGGGCCGGGCGGGTCTACTCGTGCTGGGGCCCTCCCGCCAGTCGCCTCCGGGGTCCCCGCCCTCACCAGCCGGGCTGGCTGTGACCTGAGGCCCGGGGGGCTGCAGCCTTGCTCTGCTTTGTTTTGTTTTGAAGCGGAAAGCTGCTGCTGCCGCTGCCCCGGTCCCTTCCAGCGCCGAAGGCAGGGCCGCTGGCTTCTGTGCAGGAGGAAGACCTCAGCCTCCTCCCCGGCCCGGCCGTGTGGGCAGCTGGGGCCATGTGCTCCGTGTGCCCGACTCGCTCTTGGGCTTTGGCCTGGAAGCGATGTGATCAGAGCATTGACCTTGTGCTTCTTGGACTTGGTGAATGCTCTCTTCCTGTTTTCCTCGTGTTCTGGGCTTTGAGGAACATGACACAGTTTGAGACAGACACCGTTTCCTTAAATGAAGAAATGCAGGAGATTTCCCGGCCTGACCACTGTTCTCTTGACGGTCGCCTTTGCCTCACCTCAGTGCTGCCTTAGAGAAAGGGGCCGGCCCCCTCTCGTGCTCTGCTCCTGCTCGGGTTTCTAACACAAGCCTTGGGCCCTGGGCCCTGGCATGGTGGCGGCTCAGTCCCGCCCCCCCGCCCCAGCGCCCCCGTCCTGCTGCAGCTTGCCCGGGGCGCTGTGTGCCGGGCCCAGCGCCCCGGCCGCTCTTCCACCGCCTGGCACACGCTGTATGGCCAGACGCCCCCTCGGACAGACTCCCGAGGTACAGTTGTGCATCTCCCTGGCCAGGACGCCACAGAGAGGGACGGAATCTTGGATTTGCGGTACAAATCTGTAAACCGGTCTGTCTGCCCAAGTGGCTGTCGGATGATGCTGGAGGCCCCTGAGAGCTGCCCACGGTGGTTTATTTTACTTTGCCTGTGGCCAGTCCTCTGTGAAGTACAGCGTAGTGCGGGCGCAGTAGATGGTTCAGTAAATGTCTACCGCAGACCTCGGGCCTGTTAGCCTCACTTGCTGTGGCGACAAAAGGGGCCGCTGCTCCCAGCGGTCAGACACTCAGGTCAGTTCTGGGCTCACACCCCTGGCGGGGCGCAGGGGGTGAAGTGAGGGGTGCTGTTGCGCCACAGGCTGGGCGAGGGCCCGCGGGCCGTTCAAGCTTTGCACCCAGCGGGGGAGACCGCCTTCTCTCAGCCCAGAGAGTGGCCTGGAGGGTGGAGGCCAATAAGGGCCTTGGCCAGAAGTTCTCCCCAGTAGTCACTTAACTTTTTACCTTTTAAAAATATGTCTCTTTAGTCCTTAAGAGGAGGAGCAAAACTTTTGAGAACAAGCGGAGATTCCACTTGAGAGCCATTCCCGAGGCTCAGGCAGGAGGCGTGTTTATGGTGAAGTCAGGCGGGCTTTCACACGGGGACAGGGACCAGGGACAGGGACCAGGGACGCTCTCTATGCTCCAGAAAAGCACCTTCCCTGAAAACACTATTTAAAGGGACCCCACAGTAAATCCTCTGATACCTAATCCTCGGTAACACGAATCCTCCCTGACACTTAACTTTTTCTCCATATTCTTGAGGGGTCTTTGCTTTCTGCATCTGTACAGTCTTTCTCCTGAATCGAGGCTTCTGTGTGAACCTCCATTTGCTTAAAAGCATGCAAAGCACGTGGCTTGGTAACAGGTCACGAGCTGATGGCTCCGTCAGGATCGCGGCTGGCTCTCAGCGTGAGGGCAGAAGGCCCTGGACCCCGACTTCTGTGCTCGCCTCTGCATCAAGGGTCTCCGTGTTTGGAAATAGTGAAATGATCCCAGACACGAAGGGGATGCCTCTCTCCTTCACCTGCTCAGGATGTCCCTCACCTGACTGGGTTTGGGACCCCTTGAGGTCTCAGAGTTTTCAGACCAAGCAGGTGGTTCCTTCCAGAGTCCTCTCCTCTTTGAAGGGAACTCTGGCATCCAGGCCGGGATGACTGCGTGCCTGCAGTTTTCCTGCATCCCCGGCCTTGGCTGTTCGGGGGAAATGGATGTAGTCCCAGAACAGGGATGTTTGTTCACAGCGTGGCGTCCAGAGGAAGCAGTCTCCTTCCTTGCTTGTCCCTGCCGTGGACAGACAGGGACCAGTGAGGCAGGAAAGGCTGCAGGACTCTGTGCCGGCCGCTTTTTAAAAACAAGGTATCGAGGGGTGCCTGGGTGGCTCAGATGGTTAAGCGTCTGCCTTCGGCTCAGGTCATGATCCCAGGGTCCTGGGATCGAGCCCCGCATCAGGTTCCCTGCTCAGCGGGGGGCCTGCTCCCCCTCCCTCTGCTTCTCCCCCTGCTCATGTTCTCTATCGCTGTGTCTCAAATGAATAAATAAAAAAAAAATCTTAAAATAAAAAACAAAAACAAGGTATTGAGTGTCTAGCTGGTTCCAGGAAACCTGCAGCTTCTCCACTTACAGGACACAGCTGCCCAGCTCTCTGGATGGCAAGCATGGGAGATTCGGGCCAGATTTCTGAAGAGAAAAGAAGCCACTGGAAGCCATGGGCTTCCAGCTCGGACCAAGCTCACTTCGGGAACGCTAGCTAGGGCTGTCCCCTCCCCTCAGGCCTGCAGCCCCAGCTCCCAAAAGGGAACAAGAAGGGCTCATGCTCCCTTGGTCTGGCGGGAGAGCAACCCACTGAGGAAACCGCCTGCCTCCCTCAGAGGGTCCTGCAAGCCTTCGCCACAGCTCCGTGCTGCCCCAACTCCGAGGGGGTGCTCGGTCACCTCACTGAATGAACACAAGCCCCAAGGGGTGACCTTGCATGTCCCACGAGAGACCAGACAAATCACCAGGAATTTGGCCTCCACCTTAACCTGCTGAAGCGGTTCCTGGGGGAGGCCTCAGTGAGGTCCCCCACCTCAGCACGGCAGGGGCCTTGGGGAGGGCGCGCTCGAGCCCGCTCCCTGGAGGGGCGCAGTACCGGAAGGAGAAAGCACCACCACGCCGCGTTTTTCCAAGTGTTACCCTTTATAAATAAGTACATTTGCTTTCATACATACAGTTCATTGTACGGATGGCGATCTGTACACATGGGCAGGAAAATGCATTCATTGAACTTTTCACATCTATCTCACACAGCTCACATGTACAGACAATACAACTGCTCAAGCAAGTACAGCGAAGGAAAATGTCTTTCCTTATACACAGGGGACTAGATGCCTCTGTCGGGTGTGGGACATCCCCACTGCACGAGTTCACAACTGTGTGGTGTTCAATATATCGGGAGAGAGAACAAACATGCATCGGATAATATACTGTACAGAGAAAGTCCTTTACATCTGAGTCATAGAAAACCTAAAGGAAAACTAAGTGCATTAAAGCTTTTTCCAGCAAGTGTCTTGAAAGGACAGCAAAGAGGAGGAATCAAAATCATATTAGTACAAATCACTCTTTAATTGTAGACTGTACATGTCTGTACTAATTAAAATCATCTTGGATTTGGAGGAGACAGAACAGAGATGGAGATGCTGCGCTAAATGGAAAGGAGACCATGCCTGAGGATGGCACCTGCCCTGAGCCTGATGAGGAACTGGCCCCACTCAGCAGGCATCAGCCAAAGGAGGAAACAAAAACAAACTGGAACAGGAAGTGTAACTTACAGGATTTCCAAAATAACCTGTGAATGAAGGAGAGATCTGGAGCCGGCATTTCTAACTTTTTTTTTTCCCAGTAAGCTGGTACACAATAAGGCAGGTACATTCAAGTACTGAATTTCCAGAATTAACGGTCTGTCTGGTCCCAGGGACCGGAGGGATTGAGTGGAGTCCCCCTAACCAGGTGTTCTGGTTAGTGATTAGGCAAAAGAAAAATCCAGCCAGTAAGTGCTACAAAAACAAAGCAGCTAGGCTCCTTCCTTTCCACACAGTAGGTCTGTCTGAAAAACGAGAGTGATGCTGGCCTGCGTCTACATGCGTTCAGCTAAAACCTGGCAGGTCAGCTTCGTGGAGATTACCAGAGTCAGCAGGAACATGTGAGATGATACGGGTGAGGAAACATGAAAGTAACACTTGATTTTTGGTGTCCAATTACGCATTCATTTGGTACTGACTTTTCAAAGCTCTGACCGTGGCCATCGCGTGGCCACAAGCATCTCAGGGCGGTTCAGCAGCTGTGAGGCATTGGACACCGAAATGCAGGTTACCAACACTTCAGCCCTTCAGTGGTCGGTGTTATAAATGGAGTTGATGAAGACCCAGGGATTATTCAAGTAGCTCTGCACAGTGGCTCTACCGTTCCCATTGTGCTTGTGTCCAGGCCCCCAGCCAGCCACCTTTTCTGGGGAGCAGCCAGAGCTGAGTTCAAGGCATTGCATGGTGAAGATTTCCATGACACGTCTTTGTAGGTAGCTCTTACCCCTAAGCCCTTTGTTCATTGTTGTTAGTCCTGGTAGATGGTCAGTCTGGAATTCCTAGAGGAAAAGGAGAAAAAGCCACACCTCCCAATGTGCACGCGACGGGTCCGCACGGGCCTCGGTGTGGAAGCAGCAGCAGGCTGCCTTTGCAGGTTGGCTTCTTGAGAAGTGGGCAGCCCAAGGACAGACAGACAAGGGTGGGAGAGGCTGGGACAGGGAGGGCGGAACATCCTGTCCCCCCCACCCCCCCCGGGGGGCGGGAGCCTGTTGCATTTGGTGGCAAAGATTCAGTGAGCAACTGGTTTTGTCCAAGGCATTTCTGCAGTAGAAAAATAATGATTTTTGAATCAAACCAGCCAACGGTGACATCTCTGGAGTTATAATAGTTGGAAGCCAAGAGGAACTGAGAGGGATGCTCATGGGGAGCAAAGGAGGCTTCCTCATACCCACCCATCTACCAGAGCAAGGGAGTTCTACTCAGTTCTCCCAGCCTCTGCCTGGCTGAAGGTCCAAAGCGGGTAGTGTTCAAAGAGCTTATCGTGCCACAGCGGGCGCAGATACGTGAAGACCCCTCTGCAGGCCTCTGTCCCCTCCTTCCTGAACCCTCTGGGCCTGCCTGCTGACCTGGGAGCGGCTCCTCCAGGGGGCCGGGCTGCCGTTCTTTGCCACCAGACAAGCCTGGTGCAGAGCCACAGTGACACCTAGTGGTAGAGTATGGTTAAAGCAAGGTGACGTCCACATAACCCACCGTATAGGACTAAAATCTAAGGAAAATACTTACGGATATTAAATTAGATACTGGTTAATTTTTCTATTGGGTACATCTCTGGAATATAAAAATACCAATATTTAGAGAGGGGTTCATAAACTACTATACAATATAAGGACCGAGAATACCTTTCTCTAGGCTGTTCTGTTTACAATAATTTAGGAAAAGTGTTTAATAATCCAGGCTTAACTAAATTAGCAAACTTGTATCTCTGGACAACGACCTGGGGTACTGTACATGATTCTAATTAGTGGAATTTTCCTGAGCCTTCGAGTTTAAGTTAAACACATCTAGAAAGAGGGGCACATGGGAGAGGAACAAGAAGGGTTTGTGCTCTATTAACTTGGGGCTTTAATAGTGCACGTCTGCAACCCGGACGAGATACAACAGCAGATACAAAATGGTCTCCATTTTGTCCATGCCAAATTCTCATGTTACACAGGTTTTCCCTTTACTTTGTAAATAAACATTAATTTTTAATTGTTAATTGTGTGCCTTACTGATCCAGTAAATAAAGTAACCATGTCTCAGGAGTCCCTAAGAAAATTGCTGGAAAAGCACTTTAAAATCACTGCAAATATTTTTTGTATTTAAAAATTCTTAATCTTTTTGATGCTTATATACAACAGTTATTTCTTGTGCTATAAATGTTGTGATCCACTGCTTGATTTCTTTCTTTTTCCTTGAAAGATACACTAAAAGACAAGAGCGGTTTTGCTATTTTCTAATGAAGACATTACGCACACTTAAATATCCAGTATTTATCAGAGTTACAAATTCAAACAGTAAAGTGCACCCATTTATAGACATGATGTGATGGGAACCCATTAGTGCAAGAATTCTGGGTGAACGAAACATACAATTTGGTGAGAAACCTAAGAGGCTGAGGTTTGTTACCACTGTCTCCATTCCAGGGTGATGTGAACTGGGTGAGTGGAACTTACCAGGTTCATCTGAAAAACTTCCCCCACCGGAAGCCAGACATCGATTCAGCAAGTGTTGCCGGGGGAGAGGGCATCTCGGAGACGCGGCACTAAGACGAGCCCACGGCAGTGAAGTAGCGCAGCAGGGCATGGGCAGGCTGCCTACAAGGAAGAACGGTCTCCTGCCCCAGGAAGGTCCAGCTGGCATTTTCTAGTCACACTCAACTGGTGCCCAGTAGTGATATTCATTCCCTCTTACAATGGCTAACAAAGAGTTGCATTTTGACTGTTCTAAGTGTTTTGCCCAATAAGGCATAGACCCTACATCTCCGGTTTGTCCAGGAAAACCGTGAGAGACCCTCGGGACAAGTGACATCCGGGGCGAGTTGGTGAAATGCAGAACCCGCTCGCTCCCCGAGAGCGGAGTACGGGTCACATGTGTGGCGTTCCAAGTAAGCAGGGGCGCTTTTCTGACAGATGCAGACGTTCTTCAAGAATGTAGCAGCAGCTCCTCAGTGAGGTGCTCAGGAAGGGAGGACATGCAAAGGGCCCCGTGGGGCTGAGACCTGGACAAAGCGGGAGCCGGGCTCCTGGCTGTGGGCTGGTGCTACAGCTGGACATTTCATCTTCTCGGGGAGAGAAAGAGAGGGAGAAGGGAAGGGACAAGACGCCGGTGCCCACCCTGGGCTAGCTGAGTAGGACACAGTCCCTAGGCATCAGACAGAGTGCGAAGAGTCTGGGTCTTGAGCTGGCCCAGCTGTCTGCTTCTAGCACAGAGAGACAAGTCCTGGCCTCTTTCAAAAAGCTTGGGGGCAGAGGGGTCCATCTACTCGGCAGAATCTAAAGTAGTAGAGAAATGTTTCTGACCTCAGCTTCATGCTCCCCATGTCTTCGTGATACTTTCAGAGGACACTTACTATTACAAACAGGTCTGGTCACATCTGGATTTTTAGGGCAGGAAACTGCCCTTCCAATAGCCCTTTACTAACAAGAGCAGAATGATTCCTAATAACAGAGAACGGATTCTCTTTTGCTCAGTTTCTTAAGTTTTCAGAGCTGACGTGCAGTCAGTACCAGGCCTGTGCTAAGGCTTTGGTTTCAGTGTTCTTGCTGTCCATCTCGTGCTGGCCTCAGTCACGCAAAGGACAGGTCAGCAAATGACCACAAGACACGGAACGGTGCAGGCTGACCGGATCAGAAGACCTGCTGTCTGTCTCACGTGCTCCCACCCAGGGCTGAAAGGGGTCTGTCTTCTCCCTGAAACACTTTGCAGTGTCTGGTTTTCAAAGATCGCTCCCCAAACACTCCTACCTCGAAAAAAAGAAAAGAAGAAACAATTCCTAGAGTAATAGATTATGGAACTATAGATCTCGAAAGAGAATCAGATGACGTCTGGCGCAGGGTACAATGGCCCTGGGTGCAAACTTCAGGAATAAAGTCTTACGGTCCCGAGAGAATTCAATTTGCTTCTCAGAGAACCAGTTTCTTCACTACACCATGTGGGCTGAAAAAAGGAGGGCCGGTAGAACACAAACCTGGCTCTGGGTGAAGACCCAACTAACAGGATTAGTGTACCAGTCAAACCTCGGCAAGAGTTTGCTTTTGTGGAATATGATGCTCAGTGATTATCTCAGGACCTATAAAGCAGATTTCTCCAAGACAAAGATGTTCTCTAGCCTTTCACTGAGAATCCAGAACAGTCTTTCTTCCTCTCTCTCTTTCTCTATATTTATGTATTTCCCCCCCACCACCCATGGAAAATCAGTAGATTTTTAATAGTTAATTGTTGGCTAAAAACCTAAAGAATACCTCTCAGTGGATTATTTAAGAATATCCATGATTCTCATCCGATTTCCTTGGCTGAGTGAACTATTTAAAGGGCTGGTTGTTCTCTAAATATTCATAAAACACTTCTTGGAAAATCAAGGTAGTGACATTTCAAATAATTATATATATATATATATTTTTCTTCCAATTTAATAGACCTCTTTCTTCTCTTTTTCCTTGATCCTTTTGCCCCCGTAGGAAGACCAGCAATAACCTAAACGAACGTTCTAGACCTGATGACTGCAGGGAGCTGGCAGTCCAGGGGAGGAGACCATGGCACAAGAATGCACTGGGGCTGGCTATTTGGATAACACTGGACAAGAATGCAAAGGCAAAGGGGCATCATACTCTTTCTAAAGTTCCTAGAAGAAAACAAACGAGAACACCTTATTTTTGTAAAAAAGGAGAAAGACATTCACACAACAAGAACATCAGTGAAAGCGATTGTCTCCTGGAAAAAGCTGACCAGTGTGTCTGATCTCCCTGGGCTAAAGCACACGGCACAACAATCTCCTCGTTGGCGTCGGAAGAGAGGGAGAGAGCATGTGGCTGGGGCACAGACGGGAGAAACTGAAGTCCTGGCTCGCTGGAGGCCAGCTTCCCGGTCGGCTGCATGCAAAGAACTCCAGCATGTGGGCTGCCACCTCTGAACACCACACAGAAACTACATGAGAAATTAAGCCAGGGAACTACCTCAAATATGGAAACCAAGCCTGAAAATGTGCAGTGAAAACATATGGGTCTCACTCCAACAAATGTCTTTTAAACATTAGACTCCACAAATGGTCTCTTTGGTTTGATAGGGGATGTCTGCCCTTGTCGAGAGTCCCGGGACAACTGCCTATACAGGTTGTCCTGGTATGCCTGAGCCACAGGGAGGGTCCGAGCCACCTTCACATCGGGGTATGAGGAGGCCTGGCCGACTCTCTCCAAGAGGTCTCCACGGGACCCATTAGCCAGCATCCCATGGGGGCTGTAATAATCGTCCTCCAGCAAATGGCCATTCTGTGCATTGTTGGTTTTGTTATAAAAGGCAATGTTGCTGATGGATGATGGCGGACTGAAGGACTCAGGCTGAGGCAGGTTGCCTGGAGACGTGGGACTGAGAACGGTATCCACGGATGACACGGCCCAGGTCCGATTCTGCTGGTGAAGGTGGGGGTACTGTTGAGTCCGGGCTGTTTTATCTATGATCCCCATGAATGGTGTGGTCCTGGATCGGGTGGGCTCGCTCGGGTAACCTCCCTGAGTGGGAGACACCGGTGACAGCTCGTCACATGACCTCTCATATGCCGGTTTTAGTGGGATCTCCATTTGTTGAATCGAGGAAGATGGCCGGAAGGTAGGAGTGAGGCTGGAGGCTGATGAGATACTATTGCTGGATGGAGAGAAGCGGAGGCCGACGCTCTGGGAGTGTAGCAGCGGCCTGGGGGTTGGTGGATGGGGTTTGATTTCGTTTGGGTTGACACTGATAGGTCTTCTGATTAGGTGCGACACATCAGGGGAACCTAGCTGGCTGGAGGAACGCTCCAGGTCTAGTTTCGAGTGACAGACCGGGTAGTAGGACGCCGACTGGCTACGTCCGATCTGTGGTGTCTGGCTGTACCTCATACCACCTCGATATGCTGAGGCAGGCCGCTGTGGAAGGTCTTCTTTGGTCAACCCTCCATGCTGACAGATGGCGCCTGCACTCAGGCTAGCCTGGACATGCTGCACAGGTCTCCCATCCCCTACGATCCCCCCAATTGACCCTTGATAAACCAACCGGCTCTGACTTACTCCCACGTCTCCTTGTGAAGACTGGTATTTACTAGCCATCGAGTGGGCTACTTGGCCATAGGCCCCTGTAGAGATGACGGTGCTTGAATGCACTGCTGAGCTGGGCTGGTTGCTTCTCACAATCTGGGCCTTGGCAGGCTGTAGCCTGAGCCCTTGCTGGGGAACTGCCACAGGAAGCTGAGGCATCTGGTAGGGCCGCTGGGCCATTTTGGATAATGGAGATTTTGGCCTGCCAGGAAGCTGACTCACATTTGTTTCTTGCTGATAGCGCACGGGTGAGCCAGACTGGGATCTATAGACACTCATGCTTTCGGCGGGAGGGCTGGCCCGATACTGAGGGCCTCTTCGGAGAGGGGAAGGGGGAGGGCTTGGGTATTCCTTGCCCTGTCCTCCCACGGGCGGGGGGCTAAAGCGGTAAGACCCGCTCTGGTGGGCTGGGGAAGTGTGTGGCGGACTAGGCCTGTAATGAGAGTTCTGGTGAGTTGGAGAAAGAGCGGGTGAGGTGGACTGATAGCCCTGTCTGGTGGGAGAACCTACGGAACTACTGGAACGGAAGTCAAAAACCTGATGCGAGCCAAGTGGTGAGCTGGAGATGTAGGCGGAGTCCCGATGGGCTGGAGAGGCGGGCGGGCTCTGGATTATTGGGAGCCCCTGACTGGGCCGGGCCTCGGTCTGGAGGCCGATGGAGACGTTTTCGACATCCTGTTCCAGGTACTCCTCCTCGAATATATCCTGTACAGAGTATATATCTTCGTGCTGTGGTTCGGGTTCCGTTTCTTCCGGGAGCGGAGGCTGAGGCGGCTGCTGAGGCGGCTGCACCTGGCGGCACTCCTCCTCCACTCGCAGCAGGAGTCTCTGGATCTCACGGTTGTTTGGGCAGAGCTTGATGGCCTCGTTCAGATCCTCTAAGGCTGCTGCAAACTGTCTGCTTGACAAAATGTAAACACAGGAACTGGAGTGATTCTGAATCAACAGGAATCACCAAGAGCTGAGAACGCGGTCGCTATTGCAGAGAACTGGGGGGTAGCATCTGGGGGCGGGGGGCAGGGTTGGTTTCGTTGGGTTTGTAAGGGAGAAAACAGGTAGGCTGTCATTCTGGAAGAGTCCAGAATGCTTCCTTAGCCTGTTTAGCCTCCATCTTCCTTCTGGCCTCTCTGGGATTAGCAGAGAAGTGGCCCCACTTTGTCAGTCCAGCCAGGCCCTTCAGGAAGATTCTCTTAGTGCCCAAATGCACACCAGGCAGTAGGAGGGTTGGGTGGGGTTGTCATTTACAGGGTCACTGTCAATTAGCTTAGGAACAAAACAGTAACTACAATATTTAAAAATCTTGCTGATCCATCATAATTTTTTCTTTATATTCTTAATATTTTGGCTCCAAATTTCAGGCCTTTTCCGTCCTAGCCAAGAAGCCCGTCTTCTGCCCTTTGTTCCCCACTCTCGCCCCACAGCACTGTCGCTCCTCCGTTCAGCTACACCAGAGCTGGGCAGGGATTAGGCTCACTGACTAGGCCACTCAGATTCTAATTTACAGATGAGGACACGAACTCTCAGAGATAGTCCGATCCTCTCTATTAATAATCGCCCAGGAAAGGGGCAACTGGCCTTGTGGGGAAGGAATTCTCTGGGGAAAAAGAGAATTTGACAGTCAAGCTTCTGTAAGGACTTTGTTCCCCCAGCTAGTTAAGACTAATGTTATCGCCACTGTCATCACTAGACTTAACCTGGGCTTGGTTTTTCAGGACCATATCTCCCCCTGGCCTTAACAGTGAATGTGAAGCAGGTTGTTCCCGGGGAAGAGTCTGGGAGAAGGATGGGGCACCGGGCAGAAGGCATCAAGGACAGTGACAAGTTATCCAAAGATCAGTGATTGATGGCAGGTTCTAGGTCTTTCTGGAGCCTTTCCTGCCCAATTTGGCCAAGCCACAGCAGATGGACACGAGGGATGGAGTTTCTGAGTTTCTTTTGGGCCCCCTCAATCCTGGCAGCAAGGACCTCCTGTCTCCATGAGGGTGTGGTGTGGCGGTGTAGTGACTTAGGTGAGGAGGAGGTCCGATGCCACCAGACTTGAGGAGAGCTCCAGAAGCTAAATAATCCAGGGACCCCTCAGACGCCTACAGGAAAAGAGGAGCCTGCGGTGTAAGTGACCCATCCTACTTTTCCTTCTAAAAGGGCGAGGAGGATGCTTTGCTTAAGTGACCTCTTCTTAAGTCACCAGTGTCTCTTTATGCTGTCTGTTCTAGGGGTTAAAATGTGATTGAGAGATGGCAGAGGCTTCTTGGAAGAAGTGCCATTCTCCAGCAATGCGAAGGCATTTTCCTCCCAAAGTAAAATGTTCTAGATCTCCATAGCCCTCAAGATTTGCCAGTCTCAAGTGGACTTCTGTGCTATGGGAGCCATCCCCAAAGCGTGTCCCTCAAAGTCCTCAGGGATAGACACATTTGGGTACATATGCCCCAGGATGGCCTACATTGCCTTGGCCAGATTTTCGGAAAAGAGACCTCTTGCTCGTCACCCTCTCTCTCTCTCCTCACCTGCTGCTGCGTTTTGCCCTTGCTCTTGCATAGTAAGCTTCATAAGATTTCGGTTTCAGCTCCAGGGCCTTAGTAGCAAATTCCTCCGCCATTCCAAAATCCTGTCATTACAATAGGTGTGCAAATGAGTCATTGAAGAGATATGAAAAATAGACAATTTGGGAATAAAACAGAATATATGTACATTTCTTTGACATTTATGGATGGAACACCTGGGATTCTTGACATGCCTGGCATGGCTCTAGCCATGTGGCCCAGACTGGAAGTTCCTTCTGCCTTTGCCCTGTGTGGCCCTGCAACAGCTCCTGGGAATTTATCTGCCCAGAATCATTAAAATACTTTTAATGTGCCTTCCTTCTGCTTTTCTAAGGAAGCTCCTTCCAGCCCAGAAGCCAAATGTGAACCCAATGCAGCTCCTGAAGTTGGAAACCTGACCCCTTGATACACATGCGCGTAGGAAGGCAAACACAGCCATGTGCCTCTCACGGGGCCTCAACCTACCCCCCAGCTTCCTGTCGCACCCACTATTCCTCTGCTTCCTAAGGGGTGAGTGAGGTCCAGCAGGATGAGGTCTGTGGAAAGGAGAGCTGCACTGACCATGGAGACTAGATGGGGTCGGGGCACCGGACGGACTTGGGTTCAGTCCTCTGGTCGGCCACATAGCCCCTCACAGGGGCTGGTGTGTTTTCTCATCCATACCTACTTTGCAGGTGGGATGAGCGTGATGACGCGTTCGAAAGCCCCAAACACCATTTCTGGCACATAGCAGATGCTTAGTAAATGGTTTTTTCCTTCTCTTAACTGGTTCCTTACTTAGGAAGCATTTAAAACAACAACAAAAATACAGTAAGAGAGGGCCCTGGCTGTGACTGGCGTTCGTGCGATCACCTCATCTCCTGCTCACTGAGGCTCCCTGGAGGAGCGTGGTCTCATCTGTCCTCATCTGAGAACCCTGGGAACAGGGGCCTGGGGAACAAAGCCATCGTTTTAAAGATACCCCTCCATACTGAGCTAAAAGGAGAGTTCTTTCTCTTCTTTCATTCAGTGTCAAAGCCTCAGGACAGCACAGTAACCTCTGGTGACGCGTGTGATTCCAGAGGCAGAACAAAGGCCTGGGGCACAGGTGGAAATCAACGAGGGAAAGTAACGAGCCATCTCGGACTGAAGAAGGCAGACCTCAGCTGCTTCGTACAGTGCTGGTCACGGGAGCTGCCTGCTAACTGTTCTGAGCAAGTGTGGAGCTAGAGAGGGAGCATTCCATCTTCCGGGAGTCATCATCTATCACTACTCTGTTTCCGATCTTATCTTTTAATGTTTTTCTTTTTCTTTTGGACAATCTTCATTTCTGGCAAGATGAGAATGCTTTTGAGAAGTAGATTATTTGTTTAAGCAAAAGAGAAGGCAACGGACTGGCACTGGCTCCGGAGGGTTGTCTCATTCTCACTGGCTGGTGCCCCGGGGGACCCTGGGTACCGCTGGTCTGGTTCTGTTCCACAGAAGAGCCTCACTGCCTTCCCCTGGGGCATCCCCTTCCCACAGGAACCGCTACCCTGGCCGCACTCTCCTCAGCACCGTGGGGCAGCGCTGCCTCTTCGGGCCATAACTGTGTTCTCTGGGACACCCAGGCTCTTCTCATTGCCAGGGTTTAGATGGAGGATGCGAAGGTCGCACACACAACCTCTCTGGACTTGACAGCGGACCTCTTGCCCCTGCAGCTGAAATCTCACTTCCGCACAGCTGAGCTCTCTACTCATCGGCATTCTTTTTTGGGGTGATTTGTTTTTAGCTCCTGAGGAACTGTGAGACTTCAGGCAGGGGGTTATCAGAGGTTCCTGACACGATCTCAGCTATTCCCAGTCTCTGAGAAAGGATTCTTGGCCTGGGAGCATCTGCATGTCACGTGAGCAGTGGCTGAGGGCACCAGACACTGTTCCTGCACGGCAGGCAAGAAGGACCAAGGACTACTTGGGGGGTAACAGAGGGCCAGGAAGAGTTCTAAGATTCCCTCTGTGACAAGAAGGGACACGGCACGCTGGAGTAAAAAGATGAGGAAAGGAGCGAAAAGTTCAAGATTAGCCTTTGAAATAAACCTTGAAGTCCATGGTCCTGAGTCCTCTCTCCAGCCCTTCCTTAAGTGACTAGGGGTCTACTAGAAAGGAAGGGAGTGACTACAATTAATATCTACTTGCAGCTAGAATTCTAGCCACCACCTGCTCTCACATTTTCCCAAAGACCAGAAAACTGACTTGGGGGTAGGAGACGACGATGATGGTATTCTAATCACTTTCAGTGTGAACTAAAAATTCAGAAAGCACCAAAAGTGCCCACAGCATTAACTTTTTCACAGTTTAATATACGGATTGTGCTTAGACTTGATTTCTTTCAAATTGCAAATGTCAGTGCTCTGTGAAGGACAACCAAGTTCCAAATGGGGCCAAGAACGATTTTAGGGGCCTGGTAAGAGCCAGTGAGTGACGTGGGCTGTCAGCTTCCAGGGCCGTAGAAAGCAGCTGGGAGGAGAGGGACTTACGTTCATTTTCCTGCGACATCGGGAGAGGTTGAGGAGGAGAGACACCTTTAGTTCCCGGAAGGTTTTCAAGTCCTCACCAAACCCTTCTCGAGGGAATTTCTTCAGGGCGTACTGGTAACGCTGGGCAGCCTCCTTTACTTTACCTTTCTAATGGGAGTACAAGATGGCAAAACACACAGTTGGTCTGCTGAGCAGCTGAGGTCTGGCCCCGCTCCCTTCCTCCTCTCTGCAGTGATTATTAAGTTAGCCCTCCCAAACTCCAGCCTGGGGAGGAGGGCTGGCCCCACTGGTGAGAGCAGAGGGTCCAGTCTTTTCAACAGGAAACTCACCTGGCAGGAAGGGCAAGGTTGAAGGGGATACCCAAGGCACAAGCCAGAGAACCAACACCTGGAACCCCCAGCTTCCCGACCAGATTCCCAAGAGACTGATCTTGCTCATTTCAAAGGAGCTTTTTCTTAACCTGATCTCCTTGGGACACATATCATTTCCTAGTCCCAACCTCTCTAGAGTTACTACTACTTCTTTACTTTTGGCTTGCCTGGAAAACTCTTCCATTTGATGCTCCTCCTTGCCAGTCCTCTAGAAGAGGCCATTCTCTTCCTCACAAAGGAGGTGGGAGCTAAAACGGTCTACCCGTTGCTTCCCTAATCTCAATGCATAAAGTGGTATGTCAGTGTTCCCGTTTTTAGAAAAGCCTCGGGGTAGGGTGGTGGTAGAGAAGTTTAGAATTTGTGATTCATCTGTGTAGGAGGGGACTTTCCAAGATGAAGTAAATCTATGACCAATTTAGGGACCTGGTAACAGGGGCCCTGAACTTTCCTTACATTTTGTGTCTGAAAATCTATCAGCTAATAAATACATATATACATACACACATGAATAAATAAAAATAAAATAAATGAAAATCTCTCAGCTGAGCTCAGAATGATGCAGGAGGCATCTCCCATTCATTTAGCTGATCTTAATCTGCTGTATTCCTTCTGTATAGCAACTCCACCAGGGAGTCCAATCTTTTCATTTTCTCTTCAGCACCTTTCATTAAGGAGAGATCTGCAGTCTACCAAGGTAGAATTCTGGGTGGGAACAGTAGTAGCTCTGCCTATTCTCATTAGGAGGTAGGACTCCTTGTGTTGGAATATGAGAAGCTATATTATAACCAGGGCTTAGATTCTTGAGAGCAATGCTATCCCCAAGTCCATAAATAGGACACCTAGAGTTAATGAGGCCCTTCTTGGAAGTCATGTGAAATCCTGGGTGGGTCAGGACTCGAGTTTCCTAGAAGCCCAAGATTCCTAGATTATCATGACATTACACAGAGCATCCTCAGGAAACACAACTCTTCCCCCAGGAACTCAAAACATTCCTTACACAGGGGTGGGTAGAAGGTGGTAATAATGTGCTTCATAATCATTTCGCATCTTTGGGCCTCTGATATTTCAGTGAGGTTGGATTTATGTTTACCTTTAGGAGAAGAAGACGCTGCTAATCTTAACCAGATAACTGTGACATGTGATCTTCTTCTTCATTTTTTTTTTTTTTAATTTAAGTAATCTCTACACCCAACATGGGGCTCTAACTCACAACCCTGAGATCAAGAGTCGCAAGCTCTTCTGACTGAGCCAGCTGGGTGCCGTGTCATGTAATGTTCTTTTGGGATTTCCTACAGGCCACGGGAGAGAGTCTGTGTTAGGGCACTGGAGTCTTCAGCTTGAACTGTGACTACAAAAAGACTCCATACTTTTTTTGTTGTCATTCAGTGAGTGACTTTAAGAAAATCTTATAATTGCTATTTGTCTTGCTTTCCTTATCTTACTCAGGGATGTTGACAAGCTATTATCACTACAGACTTTTAAATCTGTATTTATATATTAAATATGAAAGCAAAGATCAATGTCTCTTTCTCACAGACTAAAAAATAGCTGTACTACATAATTTTACTTTACTTGTCCCATGAGTTTCCAGGTCCCACTTAGCAGATTCCACGCAGAATCTAGGTAACTGCCTATAAGTGACCAGATAAAATTAGGTCTTCAAGTTGATCAGCTGCAGGCTTATGTAGGCCACTCTTGCTCTCTTGTTGGGAAATTAAAAACTCAGGATGGTCTACGTAGGAGCCCATCATTGAGGGATGGCATTCTCCCTTTGCCTCTAGAGCTGAGGATGAGACTGTCAAGACTTTAGTAGATTCTACAGGTAGAGAACAGTCAGTGGCTGCTTTGAGGAAACTGTTCCTTCCTCCCCTCACCTTATAAAACATGTCCCCCTCTTCCATCAGCTTGCTCAACAGGATGATCATGATGTCTGGTTTGGAGGTGGCCATCGCCCATGTGGCTGGACCTGTAGTGTACAGGATGCATGATGGGTAAAAAACTCAGACAATGTAAGGGTGGCAGGAAGCTAGGTGAAAAAAACATCCTGGGGGATTTCTGCTGAGAGAACAACTTGCTCATCGTTTAGACCTGGGAGTATCTTAGGGACTCCCACTGCCAAGAAGCTGCGCTGGATTTGTATTCACCTTAAAATAAGAACATCTGAACTGTCTGAGCCTGCACCACAGGAGGGCAGCAAAGCCTGCCAACGTGTTGTATTTGGGCAGGCCGTGGCTTAGTCTGGAGTTGTTTTAAATGAGGTCATTGCGAGAAAGAGTTTACATTCAATGTCACCAAGAGATTTAAAAAATCCAAAAAGGGCAGTTTATTTTAGAACCCGGGACTCAAAATCCCTAGCTGTTTAGTCTCTTAATTTAAAAATATGTCCTTTGCAGAAAGGGGAACCATTAAAGATTCTAAAGGCTCCCTTAATTTTAAGTAAGTATCGAATAGGCCTCCCTGGGATTTACTTTGAATCAGGAGCACAGTTCGAATGTCAAAAGACGTGAAACAAGCCAACATGACTGAGGACTACTTTACCCACAAAGAGAAAGAAGAGGTTAAACTGATTAGTTTATAGACGCCTGAATTATTTACCAACTAAGCTTTTCAGGGTTAGTTATCAAAAGTTCAAGTTATTCTCTACAACAGTCGTTAAAAAAAATCTTCTTTTAAGGTGAAGTAAATTAAAAGATTAGAGGTGTAGGGAACTCATGCAGGCTAAATCAAAGAGGAGAAGGCAAAGCTGACCAAGCCATCAGACCACGCCTGATGCTGACAGCGGTGAAATATACCTCGTGGGCGACTCGGTAACGTCTGACAACCTTCAAAGAAAGGAGAAAACAAAAAGTTGTAGGAGAGGAAAAAAAAATGGATGAAGGTGAAAAAAAAAAAAAAAAAAGAAGGAAAAAGCAGCAGTGAGAGGCAGGCAGCAAAAAAGCCAGCACATCAGCCAGCCCTCGCCTACAGGTCTGTGGGACGGGGGCGCGGGCGGGACGGCAGCAGCAGGGACCAGAGAGTCTGAAGCACATACAGAGCAGGGGAAAGCAGAGGCTCACGGCAGTGCGGGGACCGAGGATGCTCACGGGTGGGGCTGGCACAGAGGCGCTGGCCCGAAGACGTGCTTAAGGTTAGAGCAGCCTCGTGGCTAAGGCGACCAGGGGCACGGCAGATAACCGGGTGATTCTGGACACAGAGTAGTGGCAACCATGGCTCAGAGGGTGCTTTCTCTGGGCCAAGAGCCTTTCCATTCACTTGGACAACAACTGGGCCAGGGCAGAGGGGGAACTATACACATTCACACCAAACACCCAGGGCAGCCAGACCACTGGACCAGTCTGGCCCCCGGGCACAGATGGCCAGGACCTTCTTCCTTTCTCCTACCTATCTTGGCTCCTTTCTTCAGAAGAGTGACAACAACAGAAGTGTTCCGGCACCCCACTGCTCGATCCAGAGGGCGCATTCCGCTATAGTCGACGTGCTCGATCATGGCCCCGTGATCCACCAGGAACTGGACCTAGGACATGGATCAAGCAGAACAGTTAACACAGGGCAATGGCTCCGCCTGCCCCACTGAGGGCTCTGGCTGCTGCCTGGACTCTTTCAACTGCTGGTCTGAACCAGGCCGGGTAGGTAGCCATGGGATTTCAGGCCATACTTGTACTCTTGGTCTTTAATGGTGTTTTGAATATTCCTGTCCTCTAGCAATTACAGGTCCAAGAACTTTCTATCAGGAATCATCAACATGTTACTCTACCCTTAACCCCCGAGAACATTACGGATCGAGAACCTTCCCTGTCCCTACCACCCAAAGGCCCGTGTAAAGGCACTCACCACCTCGGCATCACCGTAGAAAGCTGCCAGATCCAGTGGGGTGCGGCCGTTCTTGTCAGCGTGGTCCGTAGCAGCCCCATTATCCACCAGAGAGCGCACTACTGAGAGATGACCCTTCAAACAAGCCCAGCTGAGGGCTGTCAGTCCTTCTTTGTCCATGAGAGCAATGGAGGCACCTATAAGAGCCAATGTAGCACAGGGCTGAGGAAACACGCAACACGGGGCCATCCAGAGCAGGAGGGAAGGCTGGTACCGAGACTGCACGCTCTGTCGAAGCACAGTCATGTTTGCTCCCACGTGGGGAATCTTTTCATTCCTGCCTCACTTTTACTCATTCTCTAGGGACCATCCCAAATCCCCCCGTTTCCAGGAAGCTTCTCCTGGTTCACTGTTTACCTCGTCTTGAATGTGCTTAACACATGTCACCTTATTCTGTTCTTAATCTTTTTTTTATGTATCCTACTTACATGTAATAAATTCTCAGTGAATGCTTTCAGAACTCAGCAAAAGTCTTCCTTTTGTAATAGTATAAACTCCTGGAGAGATTCTCATAAAACAGAAGGAGCTCAGTCCATGTTTATCCCTGGTGATAGCACCAGGCCACGCTCTCTCTCCTTAGAATGTGGGGGAGATGAACTCATGGGAAGAAACTGAGCCCAGGCCACAAGGAAATTCAGAGTTTAATTAAACTTGTCAGCCTTCAATGATCCCATCCTCACTCTCTTAGCCTTTTTGATATTCTACATGTTTCTCTTCAGTGTTCCTATGTTTTCATCTGTAAGGATCAAGCATACTCGATACACTGTTTTGTAATTAGTCTAAAATTCAATATATATTTGGTTCTTAGCCTAGACTGTAAGCTCTTGGATGGCAAAGGGACTATCATTTCCTTGCTAGTTTTGAAGAGTACCTAAGACATTCTTTTCACACCGTTGACATGGCACACTAACTAAATTAGGATCAACTTACTGCCTACAGAACACTTTCCAGGCTGCCTCCTCAGCTGGACAGGGGTCAGATGTCAGATCAAGCTTAGCATGTGCCACAGCTAGGCTCAGGGTCTACTCAGCAGTTCTCTGGCCTACCATGTTTTTACTCCTAGAGGTCAGACAACCGGACCCTGTGGCTTCCCACAGCAGGATGAAGGGCTGGAAGGTACCATACCTTTAACCCTGATGACAGCCATTTATGTACTGGGTTCTCTTTTCACAATGGTATAGTTTACAATGAAAACATCGACTCTTAACACATAATGAATTTGAATGTGGGAGAGAATCTAAGGAGTTTTCTCAGATGGACCATCTATAAATTCCCTGGACAGAGCCTCCAACGGTAGAAGCAGCAGGATAAGAAGGTTCTGGATGTATATTACAGATAAGCTGGTTTTCCAAAGATAAGGAAAGCTGGAATTTAAGAAATTAATAGGAGATACATATGAAATAAACCCATATATTCAAAATGCGTCCAAAATTCAATATGTAATCTTCCCCTTCTCTCTCTTCTTCCCATTGCAGTTAGTGGAATCACACGTCTTCCAAACATCCACTTTAAAACTTCGGAGTTATCTTTAACTCAACTGTCGTTATTTCCTACATGTAATTACTCTTTATATCCAAAATCGTTTTTGTACTTGGCCCTTCTGTTCTATTCTAACAGCTACCGCACCTGGATTAGAGCCTCGTTACTTCTCATCTATCACAGTGCTTCCTACCGGACCCCCCAGCCCACTATAATTCCTCCAATCAAATCTACTGTTCACACCCCTGCCAGAGGGATTTTTTTTTTTAAAGCACAACTCTGGCATAAATTCCCTTTAAAAAAATCTTGAAAGGCTCCCCATTGCCTTCAGAATTAAGTCCAAACCCTCTTTTAGTCTGTTCCTTTTCACTTTCTTTCCACATACGTTTCCAATTTTACTTCCCAAGAGCCCTCATGTACTTTACCAGACAACTTGAGTTATTGCCCCAAACCTGTTGTGTGCTGGATCTCCTCCTTGACTTTTCATTCACGGCCCCCTCCCTGAATACGAAACTTTTTTCCTATTCACCTTTCAAAGTCTGTCCTTTCCTAACTCAAATACCTTTATCAGAGAGCACTTAGTGTTCTCTGCTTTTCAGGTATTTATCTTCGTTTCACCCCCTCCTTGCCAGATTACAGAGTCTCGGAGGGCACAGATTACGGTGTATTAGTGAAAATCACTCACTGGCACGGCACTGGTATAGCGTTCTGCAAGTAACAGCGGCTGAATAAAGGTTTGTAGGATTTGTTGATTTAGTGGAAGTCTCTGATTTAAGTGTGAAAAAATGAAATACTGAGGATCCCTGACTTATGATGGCCTGACTTAACAATTTTTCAATTTTATGATGGTGCGAAAGTGATGCGCATTCAGTAGAAAATGTCCTGCGGATTTCGAATTTGGACCTTTTCCCAGCTAGTGATGTGTGGTGCAATGCTCTCTTGTGATGCTGGCCAGTGGAAGTGAGCGGCAGCAAACCAGAAGCCACACGGCCATGAGGATAAACAACAGATACACTTAGGTCCATTCTGTTTTTCACTTTCAGTACAGTATTCGATAAACTACATAAGATATTCAGTACTGTTATACAGTAGGCTTTGTGTTAGATGATTTTGCCCAACTGTAGGCTGATTTAAGTGTTGTGAACACATTTAAGGTAGACAAGGCTATCATGTTCCATAGGCTAGGTGTATTAAACGCATTTTCAACTTAAGATATTTTCAACTTACAATATTTTAAATTTGGGTTTATCAGGACGTAAGCCCATCATAAGTTGAGGAAGATCGGGAGTACAAAGACCTGCATGTCTGCAGTGGTAAGGGAGAACAAATCTCTGGAATCTCTGTCTGATAAGCTTCCACGGGCGTGTGCCAGACACTGTGCAGTGATCCAAAGGTTATCAGTGGCTGAAGAGGTCTTGCCTTTTCCAGTAGACTTGGGTTGTTCTGGGACATTTATTCCTGCCACATCTTATCCTGAGAATCTAGGTACACCCCCTATCCTCCTCCAGCCCCCTCTTGGCAGAAGTAAGGATAGATATCACGAAACCAGACTTGTTTGTTGGCTTGTATTGGAGAAGCAAGAACCACTTTGCATGCTGGGAGAGCGGTTCTCTGGTTCTGACCCAGCACTGCGAGTCTGAGGCTGTGGAAACAAACAAATCTTCTTTGGAGGATACAGCTAAAGATCCAACAAATCTTTGAGCTTTTAGTTTGAAATCTTAGAAGAAACCTCGCCTTCTTCTTAACTTGACTACCCTAAGTTGTGCCGGCCTGGTTATGATTCTTCAGGAGGTTGCCTTGCTTGAAGTGAATGTGCCCACAGATATAATTATAGATGTTTAGGTCCAGTTTACTAATAGGGAAGGCTAACTGGAATGGAGTCATTAGGCTGGTCACGATCACACGATCTCCTACTTCATGTAAACGCTCAAAGTCCACTAGATGGTACTGTAGAGTCATCAGTGACTTGAGTTTTCCTTCTACAGAAGTCCACCCTCATTCACTCCTATTTTGCATAAGTGACTGAGGTCAGAGCAATCAAAAGGAGCCTGAAATGCTTTTGAAGGTGGTGTGACTGCAATCTCTTTATTTCTCATTCACCAGGAGTACGTGAATGTTATGTCAAAAGGAATTTATTACGGGGCGCCTGGGTGGCTCAGTTGGTTGAGCGACTGCCTTCGGCTCAGGTCATGATCTTGGAGTCCCTGGATCGAGTCCCGCATCAGGCTCCCTGCTCGGCAGGGAGTCTGCTTCTCCCTCTGACCCTCCCCCCTCTCATGTGCTCTCTCTCTCTCTCATTCTCTCTCTCTCAAATAAATAAATAAAATCTTTAAAAAAAAAAAAAAGAATTTATTACAATAGAAGATAATATAATATCCTGATTTCTCAAATAGGGTCCCACTGTCAGCAATTGTCTTAACCTCTGTTTGCCTCCTTTGGATTACAAGAAAAATATTAGTTGTACAGGAATTGATAAAAGTTAAAGAAAAAACAGTCCTTGGAAGATGAACATCTATTGAGTGTATATTAGAAAAAAAAATCAAAGTTTGGAGATTACAGATTTGAATTAGAGAATTTAGAATACAAAGAATATCAGAATTAAAGGGTCCCACTGTATATAAGAGCAGAGGAGAGGAGATGGACTTTCACATTTTAACCAACTAGATTCATAATACATATTCTTTTTTTTAAAGATTTATTTATTTAGAGAGAGAGAGAGAGAGCATGCACGCATGTGCACAGGGTGGGAGGGGCAGAGGGAGAGAAACTCAAATAGACTCCCTGTTAAGCAAGAAGCCCAATGCGGGGCTTGATCCCAGGACCCTGAGATCATGCCCCGAGCTGCAACCAAGAGTCTGGATGCTCAACTGACTGAGCCTCCCAGGTACCCCAATAATATCTATTCTTTTTTTTTTTTTAAAGATTTTATTTATTTATTTGAGAGAGAGAATGAGAGAGAGAGAGAGCACATGAGAGGGGGAGGGTCAGAGGGAGAAGCAGACCCCCCGCCGAGCAGGGAGCCCGATGCGGGACCCGATCCCGGGACTCCAGGATCATGACCTGAGCCGAAGGCAGTCGCTTAACCAACTGAGCCACCCAGGTGCCCAATAATATCTATTCTTAACATCTCTTAGCACCCATCACTGGAAATCATGAGTTCCTTGGACTATTATAGGCACTGACCATGCAACTCTGGCATGCCAAGACTGACCTTGTGCAAGTAGAAAGTCCACAGTTCCCAGATGGCCTTCAGAGGCAGCCATCATCAGGGGAGTACGACCTTGCTTGTCTGCCATGTTGACATCAGCTCCATGGGTGAGTAAAAGATCAACAATCTGCAAGTGCGGAGAAACAGGGACGAATGAGCCAGAAAGAGCTGCTGAGTAGACACGTGCACGTTGTTCCCTGCACCGGGGGATCTCCTCCTACTGCACAGGTAAGTCAGCTCTCCATGTAGCTTTCTACCGCAAGGGTCCCTCTAATTCCTGCAGAGTCCTAGTACCATGTGATCTGATCTCGGACTCTCTTAAGGATAGCCAAATGAGAATTCAACTCTGAATGTTTGACTCGGCCCCTAAGTGAAAAAGAACTTAAGATACCAAATGCCAAGATGTAGACTAAACAATCCCACAATGGAAGCTCCGACACAAGTCACTACCTTTGCCGGTGCCATTTTATTGACCTGTAGGGGTTGCTAGTCTGCCTGTAGTGAGTATTTATGACTGAAGCAAATACAACAATAAAGTGCCTCTGATAACTCTTTTATACTGTTTGGCTTCTAGAGCCTTTTTTCTACACAAATACTTCTAAAGATTCTTACCAATCTGCTTTCTTTTCCATCCTAAGTGTATAAATTAGCATTTATCCGGAATTCAAACATCTGGAAAGATTGCATAGCTAGAATTTACATACACCACGTTTTCTTAGCAAGTTTGAGACATCTGCAAGATACCTGTTAGCAGGGATCTTTTGGGATATGAACCTTCCAGAGGACCTGTGAATATGTGGACCTGTGATATGTGAGAAGCAGGTCACTCCATGACCACGCCAGAAGTAGCTAGTCCTTCTATACAATATAGATCATGATGATGATTTTTTTTTAGAGATGGGCCATGATTTTGAATGTTAGGTATCTTCTCAATGAACGAGAATACTAATAATAAAGGCCCAAGTCCTCAAACCCGATGACTGCTGAGTAACCCAAACTTTGTGATTTTTTTTTTTTTTTTTTGCTCTCTGCTTCAGAAGTTCCTGTCTAGAACTCACCCCTACCTGAGGGACTGGAAGTAGCTACCCTGCTTACCTGCCAGTGGCCCTGGCGAACAGTGCTGAACAGGGGCACTGCCCCTCGGCGGTTTGGCTGGGCCACTGCTGCCCCCTGTTCCAAGAGCAGACGGCACACCTCCAGCTTGCCCCTTCCGGCTGCAGCTGTCAGTGCTAAGGGCAGAGAACACAGACTGAGAACAGGTGCGTCTTGCCCTCCCCAGCCCTCTGTGTAAGCATGGCAGTGTATCTGTGCTTGATTAATGTAACTGCTACTTTACCTCCAAGGATGATATTAGCTACTTTTGCCATGAAGGAAATTTTTAAAGAAAAATCATGAATAAAACCATGTTCTAGTGGGCTTACAATATATGGAGACAATTGTAATAATACATTTATTAAAAATCACCTTTGATTAAACTTACTTGGTTTCATTTTTCCTATCCAGACTGTCTTCCCTACTTTTGACTTACCTCTTTTTTTGGTATCTCTTCTTAGCTACAAACCTTTCAGGGGTGTGTACGCGTGGGGGGAATGTAGAGAGAAGGGCCTTGCAGAGTAAGGTTTTTTTGTTTTATTTTTAAAGTATTTATTTAAGATTTTATTTACTTATTTGACAGAGCGTGAGAGAGCACAAGTAGGGGGAGCTGCACAGGGAGAGGGAGAAGCAGGCTTCTCGCTGAGCAGGGAGCCCAACATGGGGCTTGATCCCAGGACCCTGGGATCATGACCTGAGATGATGTTTAACCCAGGTGCCCCAAATAAGGTCTTCTTTAGAATTAGCTAGGAACCACTTCTGGCCAACCTCTACTCCTGGGCCCTTAAACCTAAAGAACCAAAGCCAGGAATGGCAGTCTCAGGTTCTTGGGCCAGTTTTTTTTTTTTTTTTTCTTCTCCATTAGTTGAGAGAGAAGTTTCGAGTACATCCGCAACCATTTTCGTATAAGGGTCAAACTGTTCAAGGTAATAGTCTTAAAGATGAGAGAAGAGGTATGACAAAGGCTCTTCTGAATATAAAATAATGGAGTCACCGATAATAAAAATAGCTATAGTGACTACAAGGGACACAACAGGGAGAAACTTAAACATTCTTCGTTTTGTGCTATTATCAATTGTATATGATCTCTGAGAGAGTGGAGATTCATGAGTGCCTATTTCATTCTCTGAGCACTGTGTCAACAGTAGCATGAGGGATTTGGAGATAGATTTTCTACTAAGTCCATACTGGAACAAATATATACATATATATTTCATTTGACCATGGCATCTCAAATGCATAGGTTCAGTGTTTTAAAGAATGGAGGAGGGTGGGGAGGACGGTAAACACTGTTAGAAGGTGGCAGGAATTATGCTTTTAAAGAAAGAGGATAGAGAGCTTTGTTCCCAAACTGACTTGGACACCTGATGTGGTGGCCAGCAAGTCCTTCCTTGATCATGGCCACCTACTCCAATGGCAAATCAGAAAAAGATAGTATTTGGCAAGTGCAGATAATATTTCAGTTTGCAAAAGTTCGTAGCTAATCAGGAAAGCAACTGAGATTCAAATCAAATGGTCACTTGAAATTTTTTTCATTCAAGGGCAACTGGTGGCATTTTGTCTTTGGGCTTGGTCAAATTCATCCACAACTGATTCATATGCAAAGTCAAACTACCTGTCAAACCACTAAGATAAGCCTTCAAGTAATCTTTTCTTTCTTCAAGGGTAAGAATTTATGAAGGAAAATGTAACAGTTTTAGAAGATATATTTACTCAAACTAGATGTGTCTTGTCTTATGTGTATTTTCAGTTTTATTTTGGAACTCTTAACAGTGGCATTTCTGTCCTATGCCTCACAGCAGGCCAGAGGTTTATCTGAGGTGAGGGTCATTTCCAAGCCCTGAATGAGTGAGTACAGGTATTGATGGGTATGATTATTTACTTGACTAAGAAGTTTTGTGTCTTGTTCCTTACATCAAAGTGATCTTTGCCAACTTTATATATCTTTTTTTTTTTTTTAAGATTTTATTTATTTATCTGAGAGAGACAGAGAGAACACAAGCGGGGGGTGGGGGCAGGGACAGAGGGAGAAGCAGGCTCCCCACTGAGCAGGGAGCCTGATGCGGAACTCGATCCCAGGACCCTGGGATCATGACCTGAGCCGAAAGCAGACACTTAACCGACTGAGCCACCCAGTGCCCCAAGAACCCAACTTTATATTTCTAATAGTTCAGAAAAAAAAAAAACCCAAAAACTACAACACTTTAATTCTTGGGTCAGAACACAAGGGTAGCTTAAGAACTTGACTGGAAACCATCGTGTCACACACCTTAGTTTACATGTGTATATATAAATGAGCTCTCAGTAAAGCTGGAACAAAAATAACCTGACTGGGGTCGACACTCATTAGGAACCATAAGAATCATCTTGTTGGTACACGAAACAAATGATTTGGAAAATTTCTAACTCTTACTTTCTGATTCCATTTAAAGTAGCTATGCAGCAAACCTCGCTTTTAATGCCCTGTGTATGGTGGGGGGAGGGCAAATACATTCTTTTTCACAAAAGAATTTGTAGCCTGATGGAGAAAATATTGCCAGTATTTCAGAATCAAGCCTTTCACCAATGATGCCAGCTCATAGAACACTGCTGAAAACTTACAACCAGTGCCCATCTTGAAAGCTAAAACTTCTATTGTTCACTCTAACCTGGAGTTATATTGCTCTGGCTGGCGCATTTCAACTCACTGGATAACACATTTATATGAGAGGGAATGTTCCATTTGGTTGTTTTCTTTGTTGTATCATCTCTGTTGCTCAGGTTATGATGTAACTTGGTAGGAATCTCCAGCTGATAGCTGGACATGGTCATTAACACAGCTGGCCAATTTCATCTCAGAACAACACAACTATGTACAATGGGATCGGTACTTTTTAAAAAATCCAAGAGCAAAAAACTGCTTTGGCTGGATTTTATGTAAGTCTTATCAAAAACTTTAAAACTTTCTGAAAGAAAGAAGATTAAGGTAAAGTCGGTTCTGTAAAACAACACACTGGTTCTTAGAGCAAACACAGCAGTTTGGAGCCAAATCTCTTCCTAAGAGACCAGTAACAGAATTTGTTCCCTAGCTTGTCAGCAGCTGATGAGATTATCTGACATAAATGGTCCTTTTTCAAAGCGAAACATCTAAGGAGTCTGAAGAGGCAGACAGGATGCAGCTCAGAGTTGGGGAAATAGCCAAAGTCGGCTTGGATGGGTTGGGGATACTAAACAGAATGCAGCAAAGCAAATGGTTCTGTTTATCTATTTTCAACTGTGAAAGAGTGTAGCACAGACAAGTCATGCAAGACCAATGAGAGACAGGTGGTTGGGGAGACATAAACTGATCACTGCTATCCAAAACGTTAAACATTTATTGAACTATTTGTCAGACACTGTCTCTGCTCTCAAGGAACTCAAGGTTGAGTAAGGATAACAGACAAATAAAAATTACATTGCTATCGAGTGTATAAGTTGTATGGAGGTAACAGAGGAAGAAGTGTCTGAGAAGGTCTTCAGGAAGAGATGTTCATCTGAGCTGGATGCTGAAAGAGAAAGAGAAGACTGAGAGCAGGCCAGGCACAGGGAGAGCACGTACAAAGGCACTGAGGTGGGAGACAGCAAGTTTATTGTTATTGGAGTTACCGGAGAAGCCAGGCAATAGATAAGGCTAGAGATCATGACTGGTCTTCTTAGGCTACACTAAATAACTTCATTAATGGTACAGGTGGTCAATAAAGGGTGGTAAGCAGGAAAGTGACATCAACAAAGATCACTCTGGTGGAAGTCACAAGGGAGATGAATCACGAAAGGCTGACAAGATCAGAGATCAGGCAGTTGCAATAACGTAGGCAAAGGATGGTAAGGGCATGAGTTATGGGTATCTTGTTTATTTTGTGAACTCCTGCTTCTTTTGGGTCATAGGACGGTTCAGGCCCTCCAGAATTGCTAGATGATTTTTAATGCTGGTCCTAGTCTAAGCTTGTAAGACAAGGAAGAAGAGGGAGTGGTGAACAATCTAATTGCTTTTCTTCTGTACTGTTCCATAAGAAGTCTGTGAAAACCCTATGGGATGGGAGGGGGCCAGCCAGATGGTGGAGGCTGGATGTAGGCAGATGCTATCTGGAAGAATAAAGAGGCTGAAAAAGAAGGACAAAAGCAACCAGGATATTCTAGTGACCACCTTTTAGAAAATCCGCTCTGTAAAAATTACATCTCAATTATTATTTCACTATAGGCTAAGATAAATTTCATTGATTCTTTTTTTTTTTAGATTTTTATTTATTTATTTATTTGAGAGAGAGAATGAGAGAGAGAGAAGTAGAGAGCACAGGAGGGGGGAGTGTCAGAGGGAGAAGCAGACTCCCTGCTGAGCAGGGAGCCCGATGCGGGACTCGATCCCGGGACTCGATCCTGGGACTCCAGGATCATGACCTGAGCTGAAGGCAGTCGCTTAACCAACTGAGCCACCCAGGCACCCAAATTTCATTGATTCTAAGATGCACTTTTTTCCCTTCATATTTTTTTTAAATTTTATTTTGTTAGTCAACATTCATTACATCATTAGTTTTTGATGTAGTGTTCCATGATTCATTGTTTGCATATAACACCCAGTGCTCCATGCAGAACGTGCCCTCCTTAATACCCATCACCGGGCTAACCCATTCCCCCCAACCCCCTCCCCTCTAGAACCCTCAGTTTTAACATCTCTGAAACTGGGATGCATCTTGTGATTGCTGTGATAATAAAGAACTGTGTCAGTTTAATAGGCTGAGGCTTTCTTTTTTTGTAGTGGCACATAAAATAATGGCCATATAGTTTCCTATAGTTAGTGGTGTCTTAGATTTGATACAGTAAGTGGTACAAACTGTTGGGAACATCACAACCTTCTGATTTTCCTTAGGTAAAAATTGTGTTGTTTAGACCAGGGCTGCAGGTCACAAACCTTCCTTCTCTAAACAAGGGGGACATGTGTAAGATTTTGCCACTGGAGAAAACATCACAATTCACTGGGTCATTACACATTTTAAATGATTATGTGCTATAAGGTAGAAAGGAACATGTATACTTAGTAACTCTATCACGATAGATAGAAAAGCAACTCATAGTCTGTTCTTATTAGTGGGGAGGTATAGGGACATAGCACAAACATTATTTCCTAGAAAATTTCCTGAAGCCAAATAACGGTTTATAGATCTATAAATTGTATTACAGATGCATTTCATTCTAGCACTATTTAAACAGCATTTTATGTTTATAATGCTGAAATTATTTCATATACGTATCAAGTTAAACACAACACAATTCTGATTACAAGCCAACTGACATGAAGCTTTGATTTTTTTACAATCTTGAGATATGGTACATATTTAAATAATTACTGTAACAAACTTTGTTGTGCACGTTAAAGTGAGATATTTAAAAAAGTCCTGAGGCCATAAAATTTTATTCTTTTTTTTGAGGAGGGGGTAGAGAGAGAGAGAGAGAGAGAGGTGCAGAGGAAGAGGGAGAGAATTGCAAGCAGGCTCCACACCCAGGGCAGAGCTGACACGGGGCTCAATCTCACAACCCCGAGATCATGACCTGAGCTGAAATCAAGAGTCCGAAGTCTAACCGACTGAGCCACCCAGGCACCCCCATAAAGTTTTATCCTAATAAGAAATTCATATCAATAAAAATAAGTCTTCTACTTAGTTCACTCCCCTTCTTGAACATTGTTAAGAAATCCTTTCAAGTACAGCACTAGAATATGTTTGATATTCATCACTATGATTGCTAGCCTTATAATTCCTATCCATACCCTCATCAGGCCATACTCCTTTCCACCCTCCCCTGAGGTTCCACGTGCACGGCTGGCAACGGGAGCCTGTTGGGAGGTTCAGCAACACTGTGCCGGGCAGGGCCGTGCTGACGGGAACCGTAAAGCACCATGCCCCTTCTGCAGCTCTCAGTCACGATATACACGCTCCAAAACTGCTGGTGTCCTGGTCAGTCCCTTCCCCAAAGTCTGGCCTCTGGTTTCCCACAGGGAAGAGTCCCAGAGATAGCAGCTGTTTCCAGCTGCACATTTTCCTTTAATCTGTCACGGGCTCTGAAGCTGCAGCTGCCTGACATCTGTTCCCTTTGGTTCTTACAGAGGGAGGGATAGTTGGAGAAGCAAATTCCTGAGCTTTGGACCATTCTACATCATGTTAAAGAAGCTGTGAACGGAAACATCACAATCTGATAGGTCGTGATAAATTTTAAATGAATTCAAGTGCCTCCTTTATTTTTAATAACACTCTGACTCTAACTAAAAGACACACCCTCTCTGTTTAAGAAAATATTCCCCCTAAGTTGGCCATCTCAATATTGGTCTGGCAAATATGACACATATCTGTGGTGACTCTACAGTTTTCATTGCCCTGGTTTCATAACAACACATAAAAGGTTACTAATGTTTCTCCAGATGTTCCAGTTTACACTTGGGGGAAAGACAACAATCATTTCCTGCAAAGGCCACAAGGAAGAAGCTTCTGTTTCTGTAGTAAGTACCAAGCAATATAGACATCTCTTGGCTACAGATCAAGAGGGACTGCATGGAGCTATGCCTTATAGGGTGGTACCTTCATTTTGCATCCAGATAGCAACTTTACTCAGTATATATCAGTTTAACCACATCAGACACCATGATGCCATGATAACACTTGGTTAAGCCAGAGGTGTGGATAAAAATTTAACCTCCTGGTTTACAATTGCAGGTGGAGTTACTTTGATGGGAGAAATATTTATACCTAACTGCTACAAGAATCCCATAAAAGAAGAGAGAGGCCACAACTATTTTCTGCTCTAGTTTGGCACATTGTAAGGAAACTTTCAGTCTTTTACAATTATTTGGAAACAAGAGCAGGGTAAAGTTTTGGTTGAAAGACGACTCCGGTGCTAATGATTTGGAGAATCCAAAGGGAAAGAGGATTGGAAGAAGGACATTGCTTGACTTTTTACTTTGGCTGAATCAATCTCCAGTACAAAAACCATAAGACGGAGACTGCCAAAGGTATGCCAGAGGAAAAATCAGGGTGTGAGATGCAGAGTATCTCCACACGAACACAACACATTAATGAGAAAAGGGAGTAATGTCCACGAGAAGTACCTGTCTCTCCCCAGAGACTGTCAAAACTGTTGATCTGTGCTCGCTCTACTTCTTCTTCATCTTTTTCTGGAAGATCAAGTAGGTAGGAGACAATCTGGAACGAGAAGTTGTATCAGTTCAAACTTCAGGTGGGAAACTATGCTACCAGCTCTGGCCCGTGAGGTTTGAAAGATGCCTGGATGACCCAAGTGTGACGCAATCGCTTGCACACAGAAGAAACCAGAACCGACTATCCCAGCAAAGAAACCCAAAGTGGCCATGATGAATATTTGTTTTATCAGGTACAGTTTATACATTTCTCTTGAACACAACTCACTTACACAGCATGTGATTTTTTAAAAATTATTTATTCCTCATCTTTAAGTTAAAGAAGCAAACCCTCATCCTCCCAATAAAAATACCAATAAAGAGAAAAAAACCAATCAATCAGTAAAAACCAGAAAACAAATATGGAGAAAACGTAGGGCCTCTATTTCATCAGAGTAGAGCAATGATCTTCTTTTTTCTGCTCGGAAGTACAAGGACTGCTTTGGGGATAATAAAGGGAGAATGACTATTAATATTAAAGGAAAGCGACAGCTCTGTTTCCAGGAATTTACCTGTAGAGAGAGTTTAAAAACCTACAGATATTAAAAATTCCAGTTTTACTTAATATTCCCTTGGTGACATACGAAGTCAGTTGGCAGGGGAGCTGTTTCACCGGTGAGCCAATGTGTTCTGGTCCCTGAAAGCGGAGCATTACATTTTCAGGAATTTTGTAAGCCGGTTATTAGATGAAGATGTTTATTAAAAATTAAATAACAAATTATATTAAAAACAAAGTAAAAAATAAAATCTCACGACTTCTTAATTATTTAACTACACTCTATCTATGCTCTTGAGGTTATTCATATGTATTGTGTTGTATGGTGGAAACAGCCCATCACGGTATGTACTCCTATGCATCTCTTCGCAACATCACAATGGCAGCTCCATATCAGCCGTGGTGGGAGCATTTACACCTTGGAAATTGGCAAACATTATAAATCAAGATTTGATTCAGTGCTAATGCTCCAAGAGGCTCCAGTTTAATGAATATGATTTGTATGAGGGTGAGAAGTAGTTTAACATAGATCATGTATCAGATTTAATGACAAGAAAATTATTGGGAAAAGAGCAAAAAAGATCATCTATAAATGATCAAAGAGTTGCAACCACAGGTTGGCTTCAGATATAAATTTCACAAAAATCAAGCATTCCATTAAGAGTACTGTATATTTCATTATCTATAAACTGTGCTACATGTTCTTCATATCAGTAAAATTTATACTAATTTTTTTAAAAGAATTTTTAATTTACTTATTTGACACAGAGAGAGAGAATACAAGGACGGGGAGCGGCAGGCAGAGGGAGAAGCAGGCTCCCCACTGAGCAAGGAGCCCGATGCGGGGCTCGATCCCAGGACCCTGAGCTGAAGGCAGCCGCTTAACTGACTGAGCCACCCAGGCACCCCAAATTTATACTAATTTTAAGTATGTATGTATGTACACACACACACACATACTTCCGCTCTACTACACAACCCTCCGGGAACTGGATGTTCAGCATTTCCTAGCAGTTATCAGTTCCATACATTTGTTACTATATAATTATTATGATTAGTAAAACAATTCAGCAAAAATATTGTTTGTATAGTGTTTAACAGCTTACAAAGCACCTTTCATACCAGCTGTGTAAAAAAGAATATATGAGACTAATTTTACTGATGAGAAACGAAGGTTCTAAGAGATTAGGTAAACTGCCCAAGGTCCAGAGCGAATGAGTAGTAAACTGGGACTCCAACCTAGTCCTTCTGAGATTTCAAATGTGGTGCTCTTCCCATTCCACACTGCCTACCCATGTGAGCACAGGTCAATAAATAATCCCCAGGAGCTGAGTGTCACTGTCTATTAAATAAGGGTGGCAAGATGGGGAGGAATTGGATTAGATGATTTCCAAAGTTCTTTTCCACTCTCAAGGGCTGTATTCATAATTCTAGATATGCTGGTATTTGAGAATTCAAGCGCTTCATGGAGTTCAGTCTCCTATTCCTCAAAACAGTGACCAAAACGCTAATCCACATTAATTAGGCAGCTTATTTTGTAATAATGCCACCCTTTTCCCCCTGTTTCCTAGGTCCTTCAATACACAGCCTGAAAAAAACTAAAAACCCTAAACCTTATCACCTGCTTTCTTACCTCCGTGTACCCCATGCTGGCTGCAGCAATGAGGGCCTGCTGGATGGCATGGCTCTTCTTAAATACTCCTTGCTGCTGGCCGGCCATCGTCCAGTCACACTGAATCAAAAACTTGACAACCTCCAGGTGACCTCGGAGTGCAGCATGGACCAAAGCACACTGCCCATTCTTGTCCAAATGATCCACCTAAGGGGAAGGACAGAGAAATGTATGTGAACAAAGATTTGTGGCCACGCTAATCCAGTCACATTGGTCCACTGCACATGACTAGACTAGAGAGAGTCATCCCTTCCCATACCCTGAATCAATCTCTGAGAAAATCTAGAAAATTCTCTCCTACTCAGGCTAGATCACTGCTGAGCTCGAACTCTGGTAGATGCCCCTCAGGGGAGAACCTCTTTTCATAAGGTCAGACTTTTGTTTTCACAGAAAAAGGAACCAAAAAACCAAAACTCCCAGCTCCAGCTCTATTTTCCTGAGGTATATTCTCCTTTGTCCTCAAACAGTTCTTTTCAGACCAAGATTTGAAAGACGTGTAGCTCTGCTGGCACAAAAAAACTGTCTTTGAAATCATGAAAGGGAAGAAAAACATTTTGAAGCTCAAATTTTTTGGTCTTCCAAAGAAGCAAAATACCTCATATCATGAATCATACTTTTTGACCACCAAGCTTTGGCAGAGGCTACTTTTTTCTTCCAGTGGGAGGGCAGAATCTCAAAGATCTGGCCAACATGGCCAGAGGTACTTGGAGCTTAATGCTAGACTATGTTCCAATAGTGGCTTTTATGGTTGCAGTGTTGGTTGCACGTTTAGGTTGAAAGAAGAGGCTGGTTAAGATCGATCTACCAGGGCGCCTGGGTGGCTCAGTCGTTAAGCGTCTGCCTTCGGCTCAGGTCATGATCCCAGGGTCCTGGGATCGAGTCCCACATCGGGCTCCCTGCTCTGC